AAAAAATAAAAAAAATTAAAGAAAGAAAAAGTACTTTTAAAGTATCCAAATAAACACAATAATTATAAAAAATTAGGAAATATCCATTTTTGTTACACATACCTCCAGATTTTTCTCTGTGCCTATGGAGGTGTAGCTAATATACTTTTCATGAATATGAATGACTATTATTTGTTTTTATAAAAACTGAATTATATATACTCTTCAATAATCTGATTTCTTTCCCACTTGGCAGATATAATACATTTGATCCTATTTTTAAATAAGAGCAAAGAGCCCTGGACAGTTTGGCTCAGGGGTTAGAGCATCAGCCTGCAAACTGAAGAGTCATGGGTTCAATTCCCAGTCAAGGGCACGTACCTTGGTTGCAGGTTCAATCCCCAGTCCTGGTTGGGTTGTGAGGGAGACAACCAGCCGATGTGTCTCTCTCATATCAATGTCTCTCTCTCTCTCTCTTCTTCCCTTCCTCCCTCCCACTCTATCTAAAAAATCAATGGAAAAATATCCTTGGGTGAGGATTTAAAAAATAATTTTAAAAAAGAGCGAAGAGCCCTGGTCAGTTTGGCTCACCGGATAGAGCATTGGCCTGCGGTCCAGAGACCCGGGTTTGGTTCCCGCTAAGGGCATGTACCTAGGTTGCAGTTTGTCTCCGGCCCTGGTTGGTTGTGTGGGTAGCAGCCACTCGATGTGTCCCTTCACGTCAATGTTTCTCTCTCTCTCTTCCTCTCTCTCCCTCCCACTCTACCTGAACAAAAAATGGAAGAATGTCCTCGGGTAAGGATAAAAAAAAAAAAAGCAAAGAAAATTCATAATTTTCCTTATATACCCCACTTTTAATTTTTTTTTCTTCTTTATTGATTATAGAGAGAGAGGAAGGGAGAGGGAAAGAGAGAGAGAACATCGATTGGCTGTCTCCTCCACTGGGAATCGGGCCCACAACCTGGGCATGTGCCCTGACCGGGAATCAAACCAGCAAACTCTAGGTGCATGGATCGACGCTCAGCCACTGAGCCACACCGGCTGGGTATACCCCACTTTTAGCAAGAAGCTTCCATCGCCATTAGTAGGTTTTTTTTAGATCAATGAACTCTGTCCACCATTCAGCTGGAGTTTTCTTATTTACACACCATTAATGTAGCTGAAGAATGGCTCTCCGTGTATTATGTAGAAATGCAAGCGTTTAAGGTAGAATACGGAACAGGAAACAGAATGTCTCTTGCAGAGTCACGACATGCAGACATAGCAGTGGGATCCACAGGAGAGGGGCTCTGAGGTGGGTTTGATAGGATGGGCGAAGGTCACCAGTGGGCGGGAAGTTCAACAGAACCAGTTCAGCATGAGGGACAGGGAAAGAGAGGAACCGGGTCAGCGGAAACACTGGAAAAGACACGGAGGCAGAAAAATATAAGGTATACGTTTTCTACCTATGAAGTTGACAGAGTTTTTAAAACTAAAGCTAGGTGCTGAGCAGGGTGCAGTCAGAGAAGCACCCTCGCGCGCTCTGGCTGGCGTGTTTCTGGTTCTGGAAAGCAGTTGGGGCAGAGGCATTGATAGCCTTGGAGCGCTCGTGACTGTGGCTAAGAATCCCGGTACTGGTGAGATGAGTCAAGATTTGGCCCAGAGTCCCTGTGCAGGAGTCCGCCCCAAAGTGTCACTCTTTGTCATGAAGTCGCGAAACCCAAGTTTGAAATAGTTTATATGCAAAATCCATCATATATGATTTCTGAATTTTCTATGCTGAGCTTATATTAATTTTTTATTTAATTTAATTGAGCTTTTAAAAAAAACGATGAGGCCCTGGCAGGGTAGCTCAATTGATTGGAGCATTGTCCCAATACACCAAGGTTGCAGATTCAGGGCTCATACAAGAATCAAATAATGAATGCATGAATAAGTAGAACACATCAAAGTTTCTCTCCTTTCCTCTCTCTAAAATCAATCAATATTTTTTAAAAAAAGAAGAAAAATGTTGTGTGTTCAGGGAACTGAGTCGCTTAGGTAGTCTGAGCACAGGTGATGTTGAAGGAAGTCATGGGAATCAGACCGGAAGAGGGGCCTGGAGCCCCCCGTGGGATCTGAGACAGTGGGAGCCAGTGGGTTGGAGTGAGAACTGTGGTGTAAGTCGTCGAGGTGCTTCCGGGGAACAGGGGGAGAAATTCAGTATGATTTTAGGCCCATTTAGTGGGAGATGCCATCTGGACCTCCCGAGGGGCCTTCCGGGCGTCGGTTCTGGAGCCCTCGAGAGCCCGCAGGGCGAGTCCTTCGTTCATTCCTCGCTCGCGCTCGCGCTCGCGCTCAGCAGACTTCGGGAGCATTTTCTCTGCGCCACAGGCTGTGCTGGGTCCTGCACGTGCAGAAAGGAAGAAGGGCCCTAGTTCCGGTGGGAGAGCCTTTCCAGGTTGCTGGGAATGGGGGAGAGGATCCCCCCCATGGAGGGGAATCTCAGGGCTAAGGACAGGCTGGAGCGCCTCCTAGTTACTCCTGAGGACTCGGCCGTGAGACAGGCTGGGATCTCAGGGTGTCTGGGGGACAAGGGCGGGACGTGGCCAGGGCAGGGCGATGAGCCTGGAGGGCGGGGCGGGGCTGTCAGAGGAACCATCAGGGAGGATGCAGCCTGCAGCGAAAGGAACAGCGTCCGAAGGGACCACAGATCTTGGCCCAGTTCCAGAGGCAGCAGTATCCGGAGGAGCTGGTGTGATGGGGACATTGTAGCAGCAGGTCTGGTGATCCTCGAGGTCAGGTGGGAATCCGCTTCTTTGCCCTGAGTTTCCGGCCCTGTCAGACTGCACTCGGGCCAGCAGTTGGGGTGCAGGGAACTGGGGCCAGTATCCTCGAGGTTTACGGGAATGAGGCTGGTCAACGAAGATGAACCTGGAGAAGCATCAGAGGGGCAGGTTTTAAATTCTCCCTCTAGAAGTTCAACAGTGAATTAAAAAAGAGGAAGGGGCCCTGGCCTGTTAGCTCGGTGGTTAGAGTGTTGGCCCCCACACTGAAGGTTCCATTCCTGGTCAAGGGCCCATACCTGGGCTGCAGGTTTGAACCCCAGTCCCGGTCTGGGTGTATTTGGGAGGCAACCAACTGATGTGCCTCATCTCTCTCTCTCTCTCTCCCTCTCTCCCCACTTCCTCCCTCTCTTCACTCTCTCTAAAAAAATCAATGGAAAAAATATCCTCATGTGAGGATTAACAGAAAAAAAGACAGAGGAAGGAAAAGTGATTTCAGCAAGTTATGAAACCAGAGGAGGTAGTTTTGAGGTCCTTAATTTTTACTCTAGAGGAGCCCTTATACATATTTATATATAAAGGAAAGAAAATCAGTAGAGATGTGGGCTGGAGATGAGGGGAAGAAAGATGTTTGATAAAACCAATCTCTGGGCTTGGCCGGTGTGGCTCAGTGGTTGAGCGTCACTGGTTCGATTCCTGGTCAGGGCACATGCCCAGGTTGTGGGCCTGATCCCCAGTGGGGGGGCGTGCAGAAGGCAGCCAATTGATGTTGATATTTCTCTCTTATCAGTTCTATCTCTCTCCCCTTCCTATCTCTCAAAAAAATAAAAATCAGTAAAAACATTTTTAAAGAAACAATCTTAGTGAAGGCAGGAGGGAGGCTCAGGGGTGTCTGTGAAGCTCAGCAAAGAGGGGGGCTCTGCACCGATCAGTCTGTCAGTTGTCTCTGCACGAAGCTAAACACTGTACTTGTTACAGTAACACATGCTTTTGGTTGTCACAGAAATATGACACCACTAGAGAAAGTTCAGAAAGTAGAAACACAGTCCTGCCGTATCAGTGCAGTAGCCGCTATTGACTTTGTGCATTTCCTTGCATGGCGTATGAGCGCAGTTTTCCCACGTTCTAACCACAGAGCATGGGCTTGCTCGCCACTGGCGTGTGTCACTCCCCATTACAGCACCCACATGTTCTAGGCTGCCGTCTAGTCTTCATAGTCACTGCAGTCATGTTCCATCGAGGAGTGCAGTCATTACGTGTAAGTCAGACAGGAATAGAAATGCTCACGTGTGCATGTGTTTCAGATGGTCTCAGGCTGGACTCACAGGAGGTACATTCCTCGGTCAAAGGACAGGCGTGTCATTTTTATGGCTTTTGTTACCTATTAATATGTACTTGCCCCAGAATTGCTGGTTCTCAACCTAAACCATCAACGAAGTGAATTCTTCGTCCCAAATTCTTTACTTTCCTAAATTGGGACACCCACAGCTTAGTGTAGTAAAGATCATTTTAACTTTCCAGAATTTTCTGGCCTCAGCTGTTAAACTCCCCACCAGAGGGGTCAGGAGGCAAGTTGCTCAGTTGCCCCGCTGTGCAGACACCGCTCACAACCTTCTTATAAAGGACTTGCCAGCTCCGCCCTCCGGACGTGCTCTGAGCACTGAACCGAGGCTGCAGCCGCCTCTGGGCAGGGCCGGGCTCTGCCCACCTCCCTGCTCACAGCTCCGGCTTTGGCTCCACTTCAGAGGCAGCCTGCTGGGTGAAGAAAACACAGATAAAGGCAAAGGGGTGATAAGATGGCCATACATTTTTAAAATACGCTTTCTGGCATTATCAATTACCACTCACTTTTAAATATGTGTATGGAGTGGATATTCCAGTGTTCAGTGCGTGTGTTTAAAGGCCTTTTAGGGAAGTGTGCAGTCCTTTGCCCAGTGCGCCGTGCCTGACATTTAGCAGCTGCCAGGGCTGACCTGCAACTTGGAGAGGATAAGGGTTGCTTGCGGGGCTGCGGTCTGGCCCGGCTGGACTGGGATCTGCCCACCGAGGCTGTGCCACCGGGGCTCTCACTCTGGCCAGCAGATGCATTTGTAAGACACAGAGTCTCGACTGACGAGGAAATGGGCTTCCAGCACAGCAACCTGTCCTTGACTATCGAGAGCCCGTTTGGGTGAGGGCAGACCCTGAGGCTCGACGATTCAGATGGAAAGGGAGGGACTGAAGAGATGAGGCTTCTTGGGCGTCTTGCTGACACACGATGTCCTGTTTGTTCCGCAGATGTCAGCAAGGTCAGGTCCTGCCAGGACAACTGTACTTGCTCCTCCTGCTCGCTGCGGACCCCCACCATCAGTGACCTGCTCAATGATCAGGACTTACTGGATGTGATCAGGATAAAGCTGGACCCGTGTCACCCAACAGTCAAAAACTGGAGGAATTTTGCGAGCAAATGGGGCATGCCCTACGATGAGCTGTGCTTTCTGGAGCAGAGGCCCCAGAGCCCCACCTTGGAGTTCTTGCTCCGGAACAGCCAGAGGACGGTGGGCCAGCTGATGGAGCTCTGCAGGCTGTACCACCGCGCTGACGTGGAGGGCGTCCTGCGCAGGTGGGTGGATGAGGAGTGGCCCAAGAGGGGGCGTGGAGACCGCCCCAGGAACTTGTAGACCTCTGCTCCTTCTCCTCGGCCTCCTTGGACATTGAAACAACCCAGGCCAGGGAGCAATGCGAATTGTTCTTTTCCAGGAATTCAGGATAAGGATGTGGAACAGCGGGCATTGGTTTTTCCCCGAGCTGGCAGTTTTGGGGAAGGGTAGGTTTTGTTTTGGTGGCGGATTTTCGTTTTAGTTTTGCACATGTTTTAATTTAATATTTGCGTCTGGAATTGGAAGAAATATTTTGTAGGCCAAAGCCTACGATGGGAATGGATTCATGCCACAATGTAAATAAAACTATCCTCTAAATACTGCTGAAGATTGAAGTAGGAACTCAGACTGTGACAGCCCCAAACAGGCATTGTCCACGGGCTCCTTCGTGACCAGAGGTCCACAGCTCAGAAGAAAGTGGCACAGAGGAGTCAGCCTGTGGGTCTGTTTGTAACTTTTGTTACAAAGTACTTAGGTGAACTAATGGGATACTGGTGTTATGCAGTGATCCCTTTCAGGTCACATGTGCCCTCTTTTCATTCAATTGCTTTTATAATCTGTGCACGATCAAAAATGTCATTTGCTCAAGTATTTTTGAAAGAAATACAAAAACCGATGGTTACTGGGAGGACAGAATCAGGAATTAGTAGCAAAGGAATATGGGACAGGTGTTGACAGAGAGGATGCAGAATGCCCTTTGGTCACCCATGACTTTTAAAAAATTAACTTAAAACTTACTTTTACATTTTTCACGTAAGGCTGGCTGCCTCACCCCTGAGGTGAAGCTCTGGTAAGAAGGAAATACTAATCGCCTGGCCCGTAGATGAGACGCAGCCCTCCGCACTCACCACCCCAGCGGAGAGCAGCCCACAGCTCTGCAGGGCAGCGGAGCCAGGGAGGGTCCCTTGAACGGTGATGCTGGGAGGGAAGACATGTGTTACGGTCTGAATTTTAAACCAAGTGAAAAATTGGGTCCAAAGAGTATCTGATGTTCTTATTTGATGAAGTTGTGGAGGACACTTCCCAGAAGGGTTTCTTTTTTTTTTTTTATCCTCACCCGAGGACATTTTCCATTTTTTGTTCAGATAGAGTGGGAGGGAGAGAGAGGAAGAGAGAGAGAGAGAGAGAGAAACATCGATGTGAAGGGACACATCGAGTGGCTGCCACCCGCACGACCAGCCAGGGCTGGGGACAAACTGCAACTGAGGTACGTGCCCTTAGCGGGAACCGAACCCGGGTCTCTCTGGACCGCAGGCCGACGCTCTAACCGCTGAGCCAAACCGGCCAGGGCCCAGAAGGGTTTCTTACTGGAGAAACCAAATGTTCTAGGATTCAGGGGGGGAAACCTTGGTTTGCTTGACAATTTCATAGAAGTGCTATTTGGGTTTGGCTGTAGGTTTAGAAAATTAAGGTACTTTGGGAGGGGAGGGGATTCTGTATTAGTCCCTCCCTGATTAAAATAAGCAAAAAATGATGAGTTAACATTGATTGGAGTACAAGATTAGTATTAGCTCAAAAGAAAGTTATTTTCTAAGTCAGCATTTTCCCTCTAATGGTTACAGTGGTTTTTGTTGGGTTGCAATAATATAAAGCTGGCTTCATCATCAAATGTGAGCTCTAAACTAACAAATCTGCTCTAGAGACTTGTTGCCTCTGATTCAGGGTTGATCACACCCAGCTTGTCTTCCCTTGTCAGATTTATCAATAAATGTCAGGTTTTTGCAAGATGTATAGTGACAGTCAGTAGTAAAATGTAGATTTTAAAGAAGAGACATTTTTGCAAATTGCAGTCCAATGAGGTGGTCCTGAAATCTCTGCTGCCGGCCACGCTCCAGCCCTGTACAGGGCTTAGTCTCCCAGGAATGAGATTTCATGTGTCATCTTCTCATGAAGCGACATGTGACATGTTTTCATATGTTAGCCCAAAATTTACTCTGGGAAACAGATGAGCTTCTGGTGTTCATTATTGCCATTTTCAGGGAATTGGAACTAAAAGGTTGTGCTTATTTAGTGTCGCTTGGTACCAGACCACAGCACTCAGATGGTCATCACTCCTAGTGTCCTGACACCCCCTTGAGATATAAAGAGTGGGTCCCCGCCTGACAAATGTCCTGCTAACTGCTGCCTGACCAGGTGCCACCAGAAAGTCCCTTCCATCCCCAGGCTGCTGGGGAACCCCCTCTACTCCTTCCTTGCACAGCTCCCTCCCCCGTCGCCACCCAGGCAGACTTGTCACCTCAACTCCACAGCAGCCTGCAGGGCCTGTGACTAACAGAGGCCGTGGGATGGGGGGAAGGAGGGGATCCCCTCTCTGGTCCCTTCCTAACTCTGCTCCTTCCTCTTCCCATCTGGGGCCCCAACCTCCCCCAAACAGAGACAGAATAGGAGGGCAGGTCATACCTTCACCCCACCCCGCCATCAGGGCGGGTAGGAAGGGTTCCGTTTCCAGAGGGTCCCTGCACATCCACTACCAAGGGGCAACCTGAGCGAGGAGGGGATGGAAATAACACCCACTCTCCACACTGCCCTCCCCCCGCTGCCCCACCAGCTTGTGGAGGCCCCACTCTCGGTGTTGGGACGTGGGCTGCTAACCCCTCCAATAGGGCCACAGCTACAAATAAATTTGTTGTAAGTTCCTCCTATCCTAGATTTTAAATCTGGAAAGTGTGGCGGGAATCTTCCCCCGGAAACACTGTCACGTGGTAATGAGGTTCTACAGCGCTGTCCCTTCTCCACAGTGAACGGACAGCTCTCTGTGGCTGTGGGCTGCTTGGGAACCCTGGTCCCTGCTGGCTCTGCTTCCATGGGCCATGTTCCCAGAACCCAAACTCAAAATCTCAGTCTCCAAACTGACTTGTAGGTGAACGTATCATCATGTGTATCCTGCATGTGGCTCTTCCTCATGGGTGTCAGCCAAACTTATCCTCGAGTTGACGAGAATGGCTCAGGCAGGCCCGATGTGGGCGAGCTGTGTGCTCCTTTATCTTTAAAATCAGGAAACACAGGAAAACGCTGTGACCACAGCACCACCCACGTCTCTCTCCCTTTGGCTTTGTTATTTCCAAAGTCCTGAGGACTAACCATTTGTACCCCAGGCTCTGAAAGCTCCGAATCCCATGGCATGTGCGTGGGGCAGTGGCAATGGCGCGCTGTTTCGGCAGGACTCTGCCATTACTCGTACACACAGGTCTGTATGCACTGGCATCTACCTTATGAAGCTTCAGGTATTAGGAGTATGATGTTAGTAGCAAGAAACTGAACCAAAAGATTTTTAAAAATAAAGTTTATTCAGATTCTAGACTTTGACTAAACGTAGGGTGGCTTTTATTTGTGTTACAGAAATAGCAGAGTAATTCTCAACTGAAATCGAACTATGACTCAATTGTGTAATTACCCAAATAATTTTTAAGTTAATTTATAGCAAATACTGAAATAGGGTAAACATGCTGATACTTCACAAGGGCAAGAGTGAGAAGGAAGAAAATTATGACCCGTTGATCCAACTGTTCACGTTGAAGCTCATTGATACAGAAGGGCTTTACTCACATGCTGTCTGTAGGGACCCACGTTCGACTGGCCACATTGGGACTTAAACTGCTCCTGCTGGGGTCCTTTGGCTGTTAGAAGGATGAAATCTCTTCAGCTAAACTCTTCTAAGCAGGACGCCCACCTGCAGAGTCCTGTGACGAGGCTCAATGTAATGTGCATCTTACTGGGTTGCAGTAGAAAATCACCGCACACGAGGGACTGAGAGCTAAGATGCACTGGACTCCACACGCCCCGGACACACAGGAAGACTCGTAAGAGGAGGGTCTCAATAAGGCAGGTTATTTCCAGTTGTAAGATTCAGAATTGTTAGGGCTTAAATTGTTTGTCAGGATTGACCATCAATTCAAGATAACCCTATGAGCGAGTCCCCTATTTTTGTGACAATAAATAATAATTTGTGGTGATAGACTAAAGATGCTGTGCCTGTTTCCTTCACAGCAATTGTGTTGTGGTGCTGCCCTCTGCTGGAGCGTAAGATCCACACACCCTTTCTGGCATCTAAGACCAGCCTAGCAACAACCTCTATTAATTATTGATTGAACGTTTAAAAGTACAGCACTGAGATAGCCCTTACAAGTAGCCCCACAAAAATATAGGAGTTGCACATCTATTTTACAAATGGACACAGGTGTGTAAAATGAGACCAGCATGCATGAGATGAGGGTTTCAGTCCCCTGAAGGTACCTTCTTACATCACTCATCATTCAAATCCATGTGTGACAGTCAACCCTACTCACACTTCTATTCTCTGGGGATTGTTTTTAAACACTCAGTAGGGCCTTACTTCCGTGTAGATTTTGGGGTGGCCGTTTGTGGATATTTGGTCTCTCCCTTTTAGCGCTGCTCCAACCCCTGAGGCTACGGTGCACATGGACCGGAGAACTAGCTTTCCCTCTTTCTCTGTGATTCATACATAAAAAGATGTTCTTCTGAATGCAATATTAATAAGTAAGGCCCAGCAGACTTTCTTTTCCTTATTTTTAGATGAAGAAATGTTTCATTTAGTTTTGAGCCAAGACTATTCTCCTTATAACATTTTCCACTTCTGTCCTGCCTGTTACATACTTTTCTTCTCCTTTCTCCCTGTTTCTGCTCTTTGTGTTGCTTATTTTAGAGCCATTCATTCATTTCTCGATTCCCTCTATATGCCTCTCCCCCAGCTACAGGCCAACATCTGCTTTCTTTTTTCACTTATATATGCAGAGACAATTTGTGGGATTGTCTTTCATATTTAATGACAATTTGGGCTTAATAATGTTAAAACTGTTGCTAACCTTGAAACTGAAACTACATAATGACATGCGCCCAAAGAATTGATGAGATCATTCTATTTGCTCCATGGGAGCTCAAGCTCCACCTCTGAACCCTGTGCACCTGGCTCGAAATGCAGGAGGGCAAGTCTCTCTTCCCTTGTGTTTAGAGAGCATCATGGCCGTGCTGCTAAGCCATGTGCTGGGTCTGCAGGAGCTCCAGGCAAGAGGATGCCACACCTACTGGTACTCACCACT